TTTAATTTTGTTGCAGGGAGCATATACTTAACAGTGACAGAGAGAGCGAGAGAGAGAGGGAGAGAGAGAGAGAGAAAGCATTTCCCATTGGCGATGGCCCTGATGCAATGCCTTCTCCTCCATTCTTCTCTCAGGATTTTGGGCACAGATGCACATGTGCTTGGCATGTTTTCTAAGATGCTGGGTCCAGAACTGGAATTAAGCTGTCAGCTATGTGGGATTCAACAGCCTTAACAACCACACAATTTGGCTGCCCCCCATCTCTCAAATAATAAGGAAGTTAATTTCAAATTACTTTAAAGCATTGACCGCTATTTTGACTTATTTCCCTTTGAACAACCAACACAGTGGTCATGTAGGAAACACTTGGTCAATATTTGTTTACATGGCTAACTTCTAAAATAATCATTCAAGCAACAAAATCATGACTGAAACTAACCCTTGAGGCAGATGTTTTTAGTCAACTGTTAACTATTCATTCTCTCTTTTCTTCCTTATGAATTGATACTCAATTTCATTAAGAACAGCCACAAACTCTCAGTCTCTCAGCTACCTTTGTCGATTTGAGTGGTCATAATGACATTGTTTTGGCCAATGAAATGTGAAAGTAAGTTTTATGGCTTTTCCTCATAAAAGGGTTCCCATGGCCCAGCCACAGTGGTGCATATGGGAGGGTGATGTTGCCAATGGTTGAGGCTACAGGGGAGGCCCAGATTTGGTTCCTGGCCCAACCTCAACAGACTGAGCATGGTGGCCATACCTGTGATCTTAGCTCACAGCGAGGCTGGGGAAAGACAACCATGATGTGGTAGGACCCTATCAAAATACCCATGTTTTTCTCCTATGTGCACAATGTCTCACAGTAAAAAAAAAAAATTAAGAAAGGCTCCCAAATCATTTGCTTTTTGTCTTGTACAAGAATTTAATGTCTGTAGATGCAGTGTTTTTATGATGAAGAGGTGACTAACTTGCGAAAAAAGTCAGGGTAATCATTTAGACATTATCTGTGGCTTGCTGGACTGCCAAACAAATGGCAGCAGCTGCCTGTGTCACATATCTAGTTATGTGAGAAAAATAAAGTCCTTTCTTTTAAGCCAGTTTTACTGGTTAAT